TGGGGGAGGGGGATGTGGGATTTGTTTGGGAAGATTCGCATGTAAAAGAGGATCAGAACAATGGCAGCTTAAAAAGGCCATGGTTCTACTTACCCCAGTAGCTTTGGACATCTGTCAGCTCTGTAATGACAAAAAGTCAATCATGTGTAGAACCAACAGACTCTGGTGTTTCTTTCCTTACCTGACTCTCTCTTAGCCGCTATTTCCAAATACTAACTATAACCTCTATTCTTTTTATGTTACTACTACAATCATCCCACATCCAAATTCTGTCTCCTCAATCTCCTCACCTCTGAACACTCGTAGCATCTTTTTCAGATCTGGGGCCCGAAATGCACTCTTCAGCTTGGTGGGGAGATCTTCTGGTTTTTTCAGAGCCCAGTACTCACTCCTAGGGAACAGACATTATGAATCTCCTACATGGCTGACCTCAGGTTCCTCCAGCACCACTGTCCTTCATCTCCTAGGCCCATGGGTAAACCTCAACACTTTCCTGAAGAAAATTAGCATCATTCCCCAAAAAGCCCTGACGCTGGGGCCAGAAAACCAGAACAAGCAACTAGCTTCTCACTCTGTAAATTTTGATAAGATTTAACCCCTCAAAACCTCTTTTATGTTTGTTTGTTTGTTGCTTTGTGAGGGACAAGGCTCCATATTTCACATGGACCTGGTGTGGGGAACTTTAGATGTCACCTTTAAGAATGAGATGCTAGAGTATGGGATAGAGAGTATGTGTTTTTATCTCAGGCCAAAATCACTCTTCTCAAGACCTCAGGTCTATGTTTTTATTGACATTGGGAAAAAAATGGAAGTGTGAGGAGAAATAGGTAGCAAGATATGAACTGTTCCAAAGCCAAGGGAGAAAAGGAAATGCAAGGAAGATGTGCCAAAAGCTGAACTTTGGGATAGGACAATGTAGAGAGGAAACTTCCCTCTGATAAAATACAGGGGCAATGAAAAGCCCCGTGTATTCTGACACAGCCATAAACTACTAGAATCAGGGCTGGAAACAGGCATGGAGATTTGTGGAAAAGGAGTTCCATCACAGGGCATTAGGAGAATCAATGATACTCTAACCCTTTATCCTTAAGGGCACTGCTGTTCCCAATTTGTGACCTCCCATTACTCACATTATCCTACCATAGAAACCAGGCCATTCCCTTTATTTTGGAGGACCCCAAAATTCTCATGATGAGTAACTCAAGACACCAGTCCTAAATCTTCTCTGCCTTGTGATTCTTTTCCTTTCCCACTGACCACAAGGTAACCCTATGGATGGCTGCAGAAATCTTTGGTCACTCCAAAGGAACCACCAAGTGTTCTCCTGCACATACCTTTCCGTGACATCACTCACATCCTAGGGAGAAAAGAGACAGGTTAAGTCTAGGAGTCATAAGCCCTGTCCTCCAGTACAGCCTCACCCAATTTCCTCATCCCATCCCTACCACCCCATTATATGATGGGAATATTGATGACCGATATAGAGACCACAAGGTAGAGATAAGAACTTGCAAGCACACTGTCCCTGAGACCCTATATAGTGACATCAGGAAATGATGATTCATTCATTGGTACCTTTATTTTTACAACTGTGTGTGTGTGTGTGTGTGTGTGTGTGTGTGTGTAATGTTACATACGTACATCACCTATCTATATTTGCCAGACATTGTGCCTTGCCCTAGAGAATATCCCATGCTGAAGCCCTAATTTCTGTCCTCTACATTCTGGTTGCTGAGGATACAGGGCCTTAAATGTGGTTTTTTTTGTATTTGTAGTATTTTTAATTTTATTTACTGAATTTTTTTTTTGAGCGAGAAAGAGATAAAGAGAGACATTGATTTGTTATTCCACTTATTTATGCCTTCATTGGTTGCTTCTTGTATGTGGCCTGACCAGTGATCAAACCCACAACCTTGGTGCCTCAAGACAATGCTCTAACCAACCTGGCAAGGGCAAATGTGGTTGTTTCTGAAACCTCATCTCCTCTAACTGTCTATGCTCTTTTTGTTGAATTAATCTATTTTTCTTGAGTTCAACACATACATGTGGATTCCCAACTCTGTACTTCTCAGATCGCTCTTACACAGGCAGTCCTACGGTTACATAGGACTCGACTTACATCGTTTTGTGGTTATGTCGCCATCTCCCATTTACAGTATTTATATATTAAAAAAAGTTCCGTCATTTGGATGTCTGTACATATGTGCTTTATGTTTTATTATTTATTTACCACAAGTAAAGGTCAGGAATTGTTATCTTTCTTTAAATTTTTTTTTTACTGTTTCACTTCATTACTGCTGTGTATGTGCTCCATGTGAGTGATGTAGGTGCTTATGTAGGTGGGTTCTGACTTATGGCAAAAATTATTTAAAAAAGTTCCGTCATTTGGATGTATGTACATATGTGCTTTATGTTTTATTATTTATTTAGCACAAGTAAAGGTCAGGAATTGTTATCTTTCTTTAAAATTTTTTTTTACTGTTTCACTTCATTACTGCTGTGTATGTGCTCCATGTGAGTGATGTAGGTGCTTATGTAGGTGGGTTCTGACTTATGGCAAAAATCAATTTACGTTGCGCTGTAGGAATGGATCTCCGATGTAACCTGAGGACCTACTGTATACCCCAGCAAATGAGCCATAGGCATCACCAACTCAAGATTTTTAAAAGAAAATTTACTTTTTCTGCAAACATGAGGTCTCCTCTACTATCTTCCACCTTCCTTAGTGATACCACCATCCATGCAGTCACTCAATTTAGGTAAATTATTGTCCTAAAAACCTCCTTATATTCACACTGATGTCTCATCTTAGACCAAGCCAGTCCATTTCACACCATTAACTTGTTAGCCACCTGCTTTTCAAGGTCATCGTTGCCACTATCTGCCTCATTTGAATAGAATTACTTAATGGCCTATTTGGTTTCTCTAACTCCTGCTTTATAAACTTCAGTGACTGAAGAAAAGGTCAATGGTTTGATCTATGTAACTATTTTGATTGCATTTAACAGAAACACAGCTCAAATTGGCTCAAATAAGGAAAGTGGTAGAGGTGGTGGATGTGCCCACTTATACCAAATATCTAGGATTGCATCAATTTTAAGGCATGATCCAACCAAGTGCCACTGCATGTCTTTTGTGTTAGCTTTATTCTCATCATTTACATTTTGAAACTTGAAAGCTGCCCAAATCTTAATGGGCAAAAATGCCACACAGACATGGAAAAGAGAAGGAAGAATGTGTCTGTGATGGGCAAATTCTAGAAAAATGGACTGTAAGAGAAAACTCAAATTAAAATGTCCATGGGGCCTGGCTGGCATGGCTCAGTGGTTGAGTGTCAACTAATGAATCAGAAAGTCACGGTTCGATTCCCTGGCTTGTGGGCAGGATCCCAAGTCGGGGGCATACAGGAGGCAGCTGATTCTCCCTTCTGATTGATGTTTCTATCTCTCTCTCCCTCGCCCTTCCTCTCTCTGAAATCAATAAAAGCATTTTTTAAAAAATGTCCATTGGGTAGCCATACTAATGTGTGTGAGAGCCTACCAGCCGTGGCAAACTACGGCCCGCGGGCTGGATCCGGCCCGTTTGAAATGAATAAAACTAAAAAAAAAAAAGACCGTACCCTTTTATGTAATGATGTTTACTTTGAATTTATATTAGTTCGCACAAACACTCCATCCATGCTTTTGTTCCGGCCCTCCGGTCCAGTTTAAGAACCCATTGCGGCCAAAAAAGTTTGCCCACCCCTGGCCTAGACAGATACCTGGACTAGCAATATAAATTGATGATTCCTCTATACTTACGAAGCAGTGTTACAATTTGAGGAGTCTATGCAGGGGCTAGAACTAGGGGGCGAGGGGTGAGGAGAAGAAAACATTAGGGTAACCCAACATCAAAAATGAAAAAAAAAAAAAAGAGTAAAATGAAGAAGTTAAATCGGAAACAGTCAATGAAGAAAAGCTTCAACAGGTAGAAAGTAACTACCTTTTGACCTTAATACTGGGGCCCAAGAATAGGTAAAGAAATGATTATCACACTGGCAAAAGGAGAGCAAGAGGAAAACAAGTCAAACAAAAAAAATAAGGAAGGGCCTGAAGGTTCCAGAATGTCACAAGGTGCTCTCTGCAACTTCATGGACATACTATTCACTCTATGCAAAAAACAACTCTTCAGGTTTTAACCTCAGTTCAAGCTCCACCATCAAAACTCTCTATATTGGACACCTTGCACCTCCCAACACACACACACACACACACACACACACACACACACACACACACCAGAGCTCAGTCTTCTTGTGTCTTAAAAGACCAGTTCAAACTCCTATTACAACATGGTGAATGATTCTGCCCTAGAGAAGAGAGTGATAGCAAAGAAGGGCAGGTGATTATATAAGAACCTCTGAGTACTTGAGCTTGGTATGTGTTTATCTGCTATGAAAGTGAGTGAAAGCACATGACAAATTATAATAGAGTATCATCGACAACAGGTGCCTAATGGCCAGTGATTCTCAACAGGGGGAGGTGGGAGTGTTCCCCCCAAGGGACATTGGGCAGTGTCTGGAGGGTTTTTTGATTGTCACAGCTGGGTGTGGGTACTTCTGGTATCTAGCGGGCAGAGCGCAGGGATGCTGCTACATCCTACAATGTACAGGGCAGCCCCTCAGAGCAACTTTTCTAGCCCAATATGTCAATAATGTCAAGACTGATTAATGCTCCAATAGAACATCACTGGACACAGTTGATTTCCCCCACAGTATCAACTGAACTTTTGGACCACTTTTTATATATCATAAATACAAGTGAGATATCTCATTAAGAGACATGACTTCTACACAGTTGAATAGGGAAGAGGCACCCCAGGGTCAAAGGAATTTTATTTTTGCCTCCATCAGGATATCAGTCCCGTGTCAGAACGGTAGGAAAATTAGTCTCTCTTTGCCTGACTCTCAGGTTGGGGGTTCCTTCATGAGTCTTACCTGCAGCAGCTCCACTGTGGACCCCTGACACCGATGCTCCAGATCTGAGATGAGCTCCTTCAGTGCCTGGCTCTGGTGGGCCAGCTCATCCTCTGCCTCTTCCATAATATTCAGCCCCTTCCTCTCTTCCTCTTCCAGTTTTTTCAGTTGCCGCTGCTCCTCTTTGTCCAGGATGCTTCTCAACTGATTAAACTCTTTTTGGATCCTGTGTCTCTCAGGTTCCATCTGATTCTTCAAGGACATGGAAGAGAGTCTGTTAGTCTGTGGAGCTGAGGGTCTCCTCTCTAAGGAGTGGGCAGTTAGGCTCAGCGCTGCTTCCCTGGCCAAGTCTCACTGGTAGAGGAGGAATGAAGGGGGAAAGTCCTGCAGAACCTGGCCTTTCTTTAATTCTCCCCTCCACTCTTCCAGAACATTAGCCTCCGGTGGATTCATCGAGGCCTCCTAGATGTAAACTGCGATTCCTGGGTGAGGTTTAGATTTCAAGCAGCCTCCCCGGTCTCGCATGCCTCTCCATTAGCCTCCCCATTCAATTCTGAGTGAGGAGGTAGGACTGATCGGCCTGTCCCTAACCTGTCAAGTTTCAGAGCTTGAAACTGTAGAACAAAGTCCAGAATCAGGAATTAGAAGCTGCTAATGGCCATGGTTCCTCTTCTATTGACTGTGGTGAAAAACCTGGATTCCCTTTTGATATGTTCATTTTCTAACTCCCCCTTTTCTCTCCCCTGCCCTGCACCAGGAACAATAGCTTTGTTTGGAAGGGTTGCAGAGAAGGAGTAGGCAAAGGGAAGCTCTTCTAGCCCAATCAGGGATAGGACCAGCTTTCCTTGCCCTCAACCCCCAGGACACCTTCAGGAAGTCTCTCTTACCTTCCAGGATGTCCTCTTCTCTATGATCACAGCTTTTAGTTTCTCAGCTTCCTGCTGCTCTTGCCTCAGCCTCTTCAGAGACTCCTGGAACTTCTCCTGGAAGAAACACATCAAGTCAAGCAGGGTCCAGCATTAAATGGTCTCAGTGACTAGACACAAATGAATGGGACAGAGCATGCTGACCTCAGAAGAAACTAGTCCTGCCCTGGACTGAAAATCTGAGAGAGCCAAGTTGTACATAGGGGATAGGCACCAGTAGGAACAGGGCGATTCTCTTTCATCCCAGGGAAAGAACCTGACCATGAAGTCCTTCAAGCGTTTATTCTCATTGCCCCCATATCCCCCCACGCTCAATGCACCCAACCTCCCCTTTTGCCCCCAGCAGCATCCTCTTCTCAAAAGGACATGTAGAGCTGATCCTGAGCAGCAAGAAACTGGTAAAGTCTCTACTTGGCCAGGGGGAATTTTCTAGGTTCATTCCTCTAGCTCAGTGGTCGGCAAACTGCGGCTCATGAGCCACATGCGGCTCTTTGGCCCCTTGAGTGTGGCTCTTCCACAAAATACCACATGTGGGCACGCATGTACAGTGCGATTGAAACTTCGTGGGCCATGCACAGAAGTCAGTATTTTGTGAAAGAGCCACACTCAAGGGGCCAAAGAGCCGCATGTGGCTCATGAGCCGCAGTTTGCCGAACATGCGTGCCCACATGTGGTATTTTGTGGAAGAGCCACACTCAAGGGGCCAAAGAGCCGCATGTGGCTCATGAGCCGCAGTTTGCCGACCACTGCTCTAGCTAAATGAGAAGACTACAAAAATTAAATTAGCATAAAATTAAAATTTCCTGCCAAGAACTTTGTTCTTCCCTACTTTCCCTCCATGGGCTCCCACCTGGTACTCCTGGGCAACCTCCTCCATGAGGAACGTGTGGTGACCATGGTGCTCTTGAGACCGCTCGCAAAGCCAGCAAATCAGCTTTCCATCCTCCTTACAGAAGAGCTGGAGTTTCTCTCTATGGTTCGCACAAAGAATCACCTTCAGCGGCTCCCCTGAGCCCAAGACCACCTCTCTGAGCCTCTCCGCTATGTTGGCCAGGTGCCGATTAGGCCGCAGGTTCCTGAGCTGGTAGCTGGTCTGGCACACAGGACAGCTGCTTTCTTCTTCTTGGCCGATCTGCGATTCCTTGCTGTTCTCTGTGATGCAGGCTTGGCAGAAGCTGTGGCCACAGTCTATGCTCAGGGGTTCCTTCAGGAGCTCCAGGCAGATGGGGCAGGTCACTTCATCTTGTATGTCCACTAGTACTGCTGAAGTCATTGTAGCCATTCTCCTGGCTCCTCCTGCCCAGGCCTGGCTCCTAAGGTACTTACAGAATCCTGGGTGGATGGGCAAACAAAAGAGCGTCAGAGTGAGAAAATTAGGGAGAAAAGAAGGGATGCTGACTAACGTGGAATAAGAGGTCTGACACCTGGGGTAACAAGAGCTCCTCATTCTAACTTCAAACACATTCTTTACCCGACTGCATGTTAGACTTCAATTTGCAACCTCATTAGAGTAAAGATCATGATTTCCTTTTACCTCTTCTGGATGGATGGACACACTGAGGCCCTGGAGAGGAGTGGCCCATGTGAGCCACCATCTGTTTGACCTTTTCTCAGTCCACCAAAACCCCTCTCAATGGTAAAGTACCAAAAATAAAAGGCTGCTGCCTCAGGATTTTTGCACTTGCTATTACTGCTGCAAGGAAGACCCTTCGCCTGCTACCTGTATGTCTCTGACTTCATTCAACTCTCTCCTTACATGTTCCCTTATCAGAGGAGTCTGCTCTGTTGAGCCTAGCTGGATCAGACACCCATACAATCGCTCCTGAGATACTTCTTTGCTGGATTTTTCTTCTGATCACCACCTAATATATATCTTTAATAGTCTGAACTCCCCACCAGAATATAAGCTCCATGGGATTAGAGACTTTTTTTGTTTGTTTTTTATTTTGTTACTGTATCTTCCCACCTGACACACTGTCCACCCTACAGGTCCTCAACTCTCGATGAGTTAACACCTAGAACCTCCTAATCCCTCCATAGGATAGACCTTTCTCATGGGCCTTTACACCTCTTTGCCATCACTCTAACATTGCTTTCCAGTATCTAATCCCCAAAATCAAAGGAATCACTTATTATGAAGATACTTCTACTTTTTTGCCCCAATTACAGTTGATATACAATATTATATTAGTTTCAGGTGTACACCACCCCAGTTATTAGACATTACATAATTTACTAAGTGATCATCGCGATGTCTCGTGCCCATCTGACATCATGCAGAGTTATTAGAAGTAATTTACTAAGTGATCATCACGATAAGTCTCGTGCCCATCTGACATCATGCAGAGTTATTAGAATTTTATTGACTATATTCCTTATGCTGTACTTTATATCTCCATGACTATTCTGTAACTACCAATTTGTACTTCTTAAGACACTTCTACTTTCTATAAGGCCTTTTATCACTCCCCTAAGACCCTAAAGACGCAACAATGACCACAAAAACAGGAGATCATGTTTTTACAACTCATACTTTTATAACCAGTTGGGACTTAGAAATCACATTCCCAAGTTTTCTTTATTACTCATAGAAAAACTCTGAATAAATAAGAGTATTTTTGGCTCTTTGAAAAAAAAAATGAGAGAGAGAGAGAAATAAAGCACACATCTTGTAAGTTGTAGAGTTGTGTAACCTAACACATCCAGAGTTCAAAGCTCCTAAATCTCATAATTTGAACATGACAGTTAAGCGGAAAATGTGGTAAAAGTCAGGCACAGTCCTGGTGCTTTAGGAATGTGAAAACAGCACCTCAGTGCTGCCACCTAGTGTCCTCTGGTGCTCTTGCAGGTCCTGGACCTATTCATTCACTTTGCTGTTTAGTAATAGCAATCTATACTAATAAAAAGGTAATATGCTAATTAGACTGGTTGACCGGCCATCCTCCGGAAGCCTGGCTTCCTTCCGGACAAAGCTATGGTGGTGGGGGCCAAGACAGAGGCAGTTGGGGGTGATTAGGCCGGCAGGGGAGGGCAGCTGGGGGCGAGATCAGGCCAGCAGGGGTTTAGAGACAATCAGGCCAGCAGGGGAGGGCAGTTGGGGATGACCAGGCTGGCAGGGGAGGGCAGTTTGGGGAGACATCAGGCTGGCAGGGGAGGGTAGTTGGGGGCGACCAGGCCAGCAGGGGGGGGCAGGTAGGGGCGGTCAGGCAGGCAGACAGAGAGGTGAGGGGTGATCAGGCAGATACAGTTAGGGGCAACCAGGCAGGCAGGTGAGCGGTTAGGAGCCAGTGGTCCCAGATTGCGAGAGGGATGTCCGACTGCCGGTTTAGGCCCGATCCCACAGGCCGGATCTGGCAGTTGGACATCAAGTTGGACATCCTCCAAGGGGTCCCCGATTGGAGAGGGTGAAGGCTGGGCTGAGGGGACCCCCACCCCCTGTGCATGAATTTCATGCTCCAGGCTTCTAGTACTAATATAATAGTATTTCTTGCAAGTCTGCTATGTACTGGGAAATAGCCTAACTATTATACATGTAATAATTCAATAATTCTTTATAACAACACTGAGTGTCATTTCAACCTTATTTCACAGTTGTATAAACTGAGGCTCAGAGAGGCTAGGCAACTAATCCAAGGGGTAGATCCGGAATTTGAATGCAGACTCAGGCTACTCCTATCTATTTCTCTTCTCCATAAAGGGTACTTAATAAAATTGTTAACAAGTTAATGAAAGTAAGTAACTAATTGGTATTACAGAGTATCTATCATCTAAGATACTCAGGTTTAACCAGAGTAATCATGCCTATGGAAACTGGGCACTTAGTTGGTTTATTATTCTCCTTACATACTTACATAATCTCATTTAGAACACCAGACTGAGGGTACACTGCACCTAACAAAGACATGAGCAATTAACTTTGTAATAGGATTAAAATTATAACTTACCACTGATTTTACAGATAAATTTGATGTTGGCCTTGGGACATCACAAAAGAAACAAATTATTATTTTATGAAATTGTTAATGTTAAAAAATAATTGACTTTGAAAAGATCAATAAAATACACAAGTTTCCAGGCAAGCTAACTGAGAAAAAAGAGAGGACACAAATGACTAATATTAGCAGTGAAAGAAGGGACATCACTCATCAGTACAAATTCTATGGAAACTAGAAATATGACAAAGGACTAATTCCCTGAAAGACACAATTTACCAAAACTCACACAGAAGAAATAGACAATCTTAATAAGCTTATTTCTATTAAAGAAAATGAATCAGTAATTAGTAACCTTCAAAACCAGAAAGCAACAGGCCCAGATGGGTTAACCTGTACATTTTGTGAAAGATTTAAAAAAATAATAATACGAGTTATCTACAATGTCTTTCAGAAAATAGAAGCAGAAAAAGTATTCCCCAACTTATTCATTCTATGAGGCCAACACAACCCTAATACCAATAGCTTAAATCCTAATATATAAAAGTCCAGGGTTGTAACAACCGATCATGACCAAAGACTGACCGACCTGGAAATCCTTCAGTCAGCGCTGGGTTGCCGTGGTGATCCAGCGCTGACTGCCCAGGGGGCTGAGACCTAGAGAGAGAGGCAGGGTCTGATCCGCAGCCTCAGTGGCAGCTGTTGATCAGTACTTGCCTCTCTCTTTCTCTCCGTCTTTCTTTTCGGGCTTCACCAGAAGCCAGGCCTTTCTTTCTCTCCCAGCCTTTGGGGGGGCTGCTGTTCAGCCCTGCCTCCCTGATTAGGCCCAGAGATGCTGACTGGCATAGGAACCGACCAATCAGAACCAAATGTGGGTGCTGTGAAGAACCAATGACTATCTAGGAGGTGGAGCTTTTGACGCTGACTGGCATAGGAACCGACCAATCAGAACCAAATGTGGGTACTGTGAAGAAACAATGGCTGCCTGGGAGGCAGAGCTTTTGATGTTGACTGGCATAGAAACCGACCAATCAGAACCAAATGTGGGTGCTGTGGGGAGCCAATGGCTGCCTAGGAGGCAGAGCTTTTGATGTTGATTGGCATAGAAACTGACCAATCAGAACCAAATTGGCCAGCAGAGGAGGGCAGTTGGGGGTGAGATCAGGCCTGCAGGGGAGGGCCATTGGGGGTGAGATCAGGCCAACAGGAGAGGGCAGTTGGGGACAACCAGGCCGGCAGGGGAGGGCAGTTAGGGGTGATCAGGCTAGCAGGCAGAGGCAGTTAGGGGTGATCAGGCAGGCAGGCAGATGAGCAGTTAGGAGCCAGCGGTCCCAGATTGTGAGAGGGATGCCCGACTGCTGGTGTAGGCCTGATTTCTGTGGGATTGGGCCTACACCAGCAGTCGGACATCCCCCAAGGGGTCCCCAGTTGGAGAGGGTGAAGGCTGGGCTGAGGGAACACCTCCTGTATGCACAAATTTCATGCACCGGGCCTCTAGTATAAATATAAATGTAACTCTTTAAACTCCACAATAACAAACAACCCAAATTAAAAAGGACCCAAAGATGTTAACAGACCCATCACCAAAGATATACAGATGGCAAATAAGCATATGAAATGGTCTCAGCAAATAAGCATCATGTCATCAAAGAAATGCAAATGGAAACAAACACATTGCAAGAAAACTTCAGACCAACATTTCTCATTAAAATAGCTACAAAAATCCTCAATAAAATATGAGCCAATCAAATTCAACAATGTATAAAGAGAATTATACACTATGACCAAGAGGGATTTATCCAAGGTGTGCAAGGCTGGTTCAAGTAAATTACTTAATGTTAAAAAAAGAAAATGAAAGAAAAATCTGCCCTAGCCGGTTTGGCTCAGTGAATAGGGAGTCAGCCTGCGGACTGAAGGGTCACAGGTTCAATTCTGGTCAAGTGCACATGCCAGGGTTGCAACCTCAATCCCCAGTAGGGGGCATGCAGGAGGCAGCTGATCAATGATTCTCTCTCATCATTGATATTTCTATCTCTCTCTTCCTCTCCCTTTCTCTCTGAAATCAATAAAAATACATTTAATTTTTAAAAAACCCCACAAAAATCAGTTGATGCAGAAAGAGTGTTTGACCATTCCAATGCCCAAATATAATCAAATCTCAGATAACAAGGAATAGTTCATCACCACCACATGAGTATTACATGAAATATTGAAGGGTATTCTTTAAGAAGAGGAAGAAGAAGACTTACCTATGGATGCAAACAGTAGGGTGGTGAAGGCCTGGGGCAGGGTGGAGGGGGGCAATGGGGGGAAAAAAGGGGGCCATCTATAATACTCTCAACAATAAAGATTTAAAAGAAAAGAACTAAAGAACTTCTTCAACTTGATAAAGCAAACCTACAAAAAAACCTACAGTTATACTGACAATGAACAAGTGGAATTTGAAATTAAAAACACAATACATTACATTTACATTAGGATTTTGGATGATGCTGATGTCTCAGTGTAGGTGCATCAGTTGTAACAAATGTATGACTTTGGTATGAGATGGTGATATACATGTGTGGGGGCAGAGGGTATATAGGAAATCTCCTTTCTTTTCCCTCAATTTTGCTGGGAACATAAAATTGCTCTTAAAAAAGTAATATCTTAAAAATGTTGTTGTAACTATACTTACCTTTTAAAATATATATTTTTATTGACTTTAGAGAGGAAGAGAGAGAGAAAGATAGAAAAATCAATGATTAGAATCATTGGTTGGCTGCCTCCTTCACACCCCCTACTGAAGATTGAGCCAGTAACCCAGGCATGTGCCCTGACCAAGAATCAAATCATGGTCGTTGCTCAACCACCAAATCACTATTTTAAGTGACGATCCACTACATCTCCCCAATATAAACATATACACATACATTTATTTCAGGCAAAAGTGTGCTTGGTAGAAGTAGTCTTTTAGGGGAGAGTATCTGCTTCATCAATGCAATGCAATAATCACAAAAAACTGGAAATAATCCATAAAACCATTAAGGAGTAAATAAACACACAAATTATGGTATATCCATACAATGGCATATTATAAAACAATAATATGGAACTACTGATACAACAAGAACGATGTCAAAAACATTATCCAAAGTGAACAAAACTAGACCAGCAAAGATAAGTAACTATATAATTCCACTTATATAAAATCCTAGAAAAGACAAACCTATGCTATTTGAAAGCAGATTAGTGGATTCTAGGGCCCAGGGATGTGAAAAGGGAATGAACTGTGAAGAGACACAAGTAAATTTTGGAGATGATGGAAATACCCTTTATAAATCATGATTATGTTGGTGGTTACACAACTATATATATGTCAAAACTCATGGAATTGTAATCTTAAAAATGATAACTTACTAGATGTAAATTATAACTCATTAGAGCTGACAAAAACAAAAGAAGAAATGCAATGAGAAAAATTGAAAGCATGGTTTTCTGCACTTCTAGGCATAAATTAACTGTGTTGTCAAATATGGTAGCTATATGTGGCTATGGAGCATTTGAACGGTGGCTAATTGGAAATGAAGTGTAAATATAGAATACATACTGGATTCAAAGACTTAGTAAGAGAATACAATCTAAAATATCTCATTAAGTTTTTTATATTGATTACATGTCTTAATAATATTTTGGTACATTCAGTTAAATGTATTAAAATCAATTTTACCTGTTCTTACTATTCAATGAGGCCACTAGAAAATTTAAAATTATATATGTGGCCCCCTTATAGTTCTGTTTCTTTACCATCTAATGCACTACTTTGGATAGTCAAAAGAGAGGATTTTTGAGGAAAAAAAAGATGTAAGAATTCTTAAAGGGTATAATCAAGTTGAGAGTGGAGAAAAGAAGAAATTGTGAAGGAGGGGATCAATTGGCTAATATATAGTTAGCAAGGGTTTGAGTAACCCTGTCCCACATACCAGCAGGCCCTTGACCACCAGCTGCAGATGAGCGCAGTCCACTGGAGCTGTGGAAGGCCAACTGAGTCTCAGCCTAAGGCCAGCCCTCAAGGGCTGTGTGGGTGGGCTGAGATTCCAGTCTGGTTGTGTGAGAAGAGCAGAACCTGCAGCTTGAGGTTGTAGATGCCTGAGGATCAAATTAGCAAATGAAAGAGGCCAAATTCAGGACTAGGTGGGAACAGTTAAATATAAAACAAAAGCCTGAAAAAGGTCAAGTGGTTGGCTAACTAGCAGCACTGGAGTCCTATGGATCTCTTTATGCAGAATCTCTAGGCTTTCACCCCGACCAGTATAGTCTCTATACTTTATGATCTTCAGGTCATTTGTATGCACATTAAGACTTTAGAAGTAGATTCAATTTAGGGTGCAAAATAGCTAGAAAGGGGCAAAGGTGGGGCCGAGGATGGGGAGAGAGGAAGGCTAGAGAATGGACTGATATTTAGATCTGAACCATCCATTAAGCTAGAGCAGGTCACAATTTGACATCAAAATAGCTTTCATAATAAAGTCAGTGACTGGGTAGGAGCTGTTAAAGGTTAGACCAAGATGGGGATGGTGGTGGGACTCAGAAAATTAGAAATCAGATTGCCAGGGTTGGCCCTGTCCTCCCCCCACCCCCGCAACTAGAAGCTCTAGTGAAAGTGAAGTAAAAACCTAAACAGGAGGCATATGCAATTATAAAGTAAGTTAAGTAAGTTGGGCTTCTTGTACTTAGGGAATAGTAGTCTTTTTATCTTTGTGTAGAATTATATTCCACTCTGTTCTGTTATCTGGAATTGATTATCTAACAAGTGGCACTCCACAAGCATTTGAATTGAAACATAATCAGCTTCAAATACATATTTTTTAAACTTCACTTCAAAAGAATCGCTATCCCGTGCATTTCAAAAACTTTTTATTAACTTTGAAAATTCTTAAAATATTGTCCTGCACAGTTTTCCATCTTTCTGAGATCATCCAGTAAGTGAGTTTTTTTTTAGGATAAATTATAAAATTTTTATGTTTGATTTTTCCTGCATCTGTGAAATTCCACTTATAATTCATAACTCTGTTGTATTTTTAACTTGTTTAGATGTCAGTAGACCTATTTTCCTTTATCATAGTGCACTTTACCATATTTTATTCCCTACATCACTTCAAAACTTGTGCATTTCTTTTAAAGGTAGGCATTGCGTTTGTCAATAAAAACTCAATAATTTGAGCAACAGTAATAGTAAATCCATTTGGCGTATTTAAACTTCTGCCTCACTTAATCCTCACCAAAACTCTAGGATATGAATATTACACCGTCCATTTTATAGATGTAAGAAATGAAGCTCAGTTACAGGTGGGGGGCACCCAGCCAGCATTTAAGTGTCTGAGCCAGAGATGAAACAGGCTGCAGCGCCCGTCGCGCATGCTCTGAAACACACATTGCTGTCTGGGTTGAATGACTGGTTAAATGTTGTCCCTAAGCTCATCTGCAGTGAGGATGAAAAAGAAAGATACAATGATCTAAATCATGAGCTCCCTAAGGGAAGGGACTCATCTCTTTCACTGCCCTGTCACCCCTTCCATGGCCAGAAGTAACAATAAGCGGCCCAGTCACAGAGCAGCGGGCGGATACCTGCCTGTGATGGGCACAGAGAGGGAAGGAGAAGCCAGGGAAGCTCCAGGTGTGAGCGGCACCAGGGGGTCAGGGCTCCCCAGAGCAGAACAAGGACTTTTAAATAGACTCTGAAGAACAGAGGGCGCTCACTCTTTCGGTGTTCTTCCCTCCCCTCCCCCCAGCACCCCAACACAACTAGCATGTGGCCCCACCCCTTTCAGAGACAGTCAGGCCTCCTCCCCCTCCTGCCCGCAGGTCCGGCTGAGCGCGGCCGGCTCAGCTCCCAACTCCCTCAGGGCGAGGTCTGGGCCTCCAGGGTGGAGGACAAACAGTGCTCGCTTCCCGGAGCCCAGGCAGGGGGTGGGGGAGGGGCTGCTGACCTCTGAGTCCACGCCCGGCTCGCTTTGCTGTCATTCCCCACCAGCCCTTCCAGAGCTGCCTCGCCACATTCTTCAGCTTCCACAATCAGGGTTGAATCATCACTATCTGTAGAGTCTACTCCTAGCTCCAAAGTTCCCTCTTCTGTGCTCCTTTCCCAAACTAGAGTCAACTCAAAACTGCAGAGGTGCCCCTCACTCTTCCCCCACTCGCGAGCCCCCAACCCAACCTGGAAGGCAAGTCAAACTCTCAGGACTAGTGGGGAAGGAAAGCGGTGGCCGGCCAGAAAATGGATTTGCTTACTGACCTGGAATCCGTAGCCTGGATCTGGGCCAGAGATTTGCTGCTGCTCCCACCTCCAGCAAAGCAGGAAGGGGGGAGGGGGAGATGCCACTGATAGGGCTGGTCGGCCTAGCATAGCCCTAGGTCCTGCACTCAGGGGTGTGGTCACCACTATCCCAACCTGCCCTGTGGTGTTTGCTTACAGAATGGCAAATTCTGAGGCCTTAGAGAACAACTGAAGGTCAGAGACCAGACTTCTAAAATGTCTTCACTTTTTGGCTTTCTGACATCATGTCAGTGTTCAATAACACTGATAACACACCTGTATTCCATATTCATATGTTAACTAAAGTAGCTAAGTGAATAGAAATATCTAAAGTTATAGGAGTGAGTCAAGATAACCGCTTGACATCCTAATGGCATCTTTTGCAAAATTATAATGAAAATGTATCAATTTGAAATGACAGATTATATTTTTAAGTTATATTTCATTTACATTTAACCTATATAACTGAGAGACTGTAAATGTTTGTGTTTGGATCCTATGAATGCATACAAAGTTTATAAAGCCCAGGGATTGTGACTACAGGGTTTCAATGGCACAGCAACTCTAAGAGGTAGGCCAAACTTCTGCCCCAAGGATACAGAGATGATGAGCCTGACCTGGTCTGAAATTGTGGGTTGGGGAAGGGGTACCTACAGAGAGGAAGGTGTTCGGGTAAGTCAGAACATGATTGGGCAATGTGTCTTCTTTCACTGAACATAACATTTTCAAGGTTAATTCATGTTGCATAATGTATGAGTACTTCACTCTTTTGATGGCGGAATAATATAACAGTGTATGTATTTTCCATGTTTTTATGGAATCCCTATATATATACACATACATACCACATAATAATTGATATGGACATAGATAGGCAAATAGTGTGTTTTTTTAAAAACAAACAACTTCTTATTAATAAAGAAAGAGGGTGGCCATCAATAGGATGTGGTACCTGGAAGCTCAAAAATTGTTTTTCATCTGATGTCTTCTGATTTTTGTTCTAGGGCTAAAGTTTAAAATAATAAGGGGATTGGGGGCTGTGAGGCTTGGAAAAAGTCAAGTGGGATGGGGAGAAACTGTTTCAGCTTCTTCCTCTCCCTATTCTTTCAATTTTTAAAAATCTGTCAAATTAAATGGGTAAAGCCATGATTTATTTGGGCATTCTCAGGGATAACAGAGAATAATTAGATACAGATAACAGATAATAATCTTCCTATTAACACATCCTATTAGTAAAGAATTACATTTTAAAAATGGACAGCAAGTCCTGGCTGGGTAGCTCAGTTGGTTAGAGCAATGTCCCCATATGCCAAGGTTGCAGTTTCAATCTCCAGTCAGGGCACATACAAAATCACCCCTTTCTTTAAGGAACGTGGTTTAGACAAGGAATAAAGGAGCAAACATGAAAAAAAAATTGATAAAACAAGAATAAGTATTCTCAGTACCCAAGAGGATGGATCTTTTATTTTGGGCAGAGTATGGGAGTGGACAGAGTTGAGGTGTGAACTGGGTTTTTAAGGATGAATTGACCTTTGACTAAAGTTCAGGCTGAGTTGCTCTTCTGAGTCTCAGAGAACATTAGTCTAAGCTAATCTGTGGTGTGAATAATTAATGATTAGTGAGCAAGCTACCAAATTACATAGCTATGTTTATATTTCTTTAAACATTTATTAAAGAGTATATAAATTAACATCCGTTAGATATGAGTAGAATTTTGACTTCTCATTTTAATGATGAATATAATTTTTAAATACAAAACATTTTTGATGGAAAAGAGTGCTCTGTTCCTATACAATTATCTATATTTTGTTGAAAGGATGTGTCCACCTATATATGTTGCTGTGTGTTAGCATCTCTGAACTTGGGTACGTACACATCTGTGATTATGGACATGTGTAACTGGTAATAAAAATAATATCATTTCATGGAACTATCAATTTTTAGACATGAGAGTTCTCAGGGGTTCCCACTGTAAGAAAGATATTGCACTGGTAATCAAAATTGCATGCAAGGGATTAGGTAAGTCATTAGAGAGAAAATGCAAGTGAATACTGAGAAAAGTCCTATTTGGATGGTAGATTCCAGGTAAGTTATCACATTTCCCTCAGTTAGTTTTTCTTGAGATGCTAAGGATCAGAAGGGATTTGAATAATAGGTAGAAGAAAGTGAGGTGGGTATTAGTATAGATTTCTAAACAAATAAATCAAAAGTGGATTTTAGTAGAACATTTATTTTATTTTGTATTCACTCATTTGTATTCTATATTCCACCAGAAACATTTCTGCAAACCAATAAAAACTCTTTATAAACATTATTGTTAGTGACTGATTAATATTTGATAGTAAGTATATATTACATAGCATTATTTATTTACTAGAGGCCCAGTGCGCAACATTTGTGCACTGGAGGGGGGGGTCCCTCAGATCGGCCTGTACCCTTTCACAGTCCAGGACCCCTTGGGGGATGCCCGCCTGGCGGGAGCAGGCCTAAGCCGGCAGACAGACATCCCCTGAGGGGTCTTTAGTGCTGCCGAGGAGGCAGGAGAGGCTCCTGCCACTGCTGCTGCACTCACTAGCTGTCAGCTGGCTTCTGGCTGAGCAGCGCTCCCCCTGTGGGAGTGCACTGACCACTAGGGGGCAACTCCTGATTGAACATCTGCCACCTGGTGGTCAGTGTGCGTTATAGCAACCAGTCATTCCCCCATTTGGTCGATTGACATATTAGCCTTTTAGTATATAGGATTGTCATTCATGCAGAATATAAAAGCTATTTTTTCTTTTTTTATGCTATTGTAGATAATTCTGGAGTTAATGACTTTTTTTTCATAAATCTTTGTGCTCATTTCAGACTATTTCCTTAAGCTACATTCTAAGAATAAGAGTTAGTAGGTCAAAGAGAATGAACATTATCAAGGCATTTGATTCATATGGCTAAATTCCAAATGATTCTACAGATGTATACTTTTATTGCAAGTATGTGATATAAATATGAAAGACCATCTTGAAAGATAACAAGTTTGTAATCTTTATTGAGCAAAGATTTTTTTAGACTATTATTACATTACTCACAGTGAACAAAGAGTATAAAAATGTCAGCTAATCTATATTGTGAGTTGGAAAGAATTATATAAAAGTGGACATTATTTTATATCAGTAAGTAATAATGAAAATAAAATAGCCAATTAGGATCAGGACTAGGACATTTGAAATATCTTCCCCAAGTGTAGTCATAAGGCATGGTCCAATAGAAGCTGTCTCATCTGAGTCCCACTGCATGATCTGAATCACTTGCATGCTTTATTTATTATTTCTTTTTAATTTATTTTCACTTAGAGTTGGCCTACAATATTATATTAGTATCAGGTGTACAACATAGTGATTAGACATTTATGTACCTTACAAAGTGATCACACTGATAAGTCTAGCACCCACCTGACACCATACATAGTTATTACAATGTTTTGACTATATTCCTTTGCTGTACTTTACATTCTTGTGATGATTTTAATAACTGGCAATTTGTACTTCTAAATCCCTTTCACCTTTCTCACTCAGCCTCCAAACACCACTCCTATCTGGGGACCAAGAATTTGAGTAGAACATTCATTTAAATAAATTAGGACATGGGTGAGAATGACACAAGATAACTGAAAGATGTAGAGATGAGGATATGGTGAATATGAAATGTGAAAAAATAAATATGAAAAGGGATTAAGTTGAGCTCAAATTGGAAACCTTTAGTTACATTCCTTGACAAGATTTGAAAACATCTGTTTAGCCCCTTCCAAAATTGGCTTGGTCCTCACTCCATAAATAATAGGATTGAGCGTTGGTGGGATGATCACATAGAGATTGGCCAGAAGGATGTGGACATAACTTGGGATGAGTCTCCCACCAAACCTATAGGCAAAGACAGAAAAGAGGGCAGGAATGTAGAAGAGTAGAATGACACAGACATGGGAGCCGCAAGTGCTCAGGGCCTTGGACCGGGCATCTTGAGAAGGGAGTTGAAAGACAGCTCGAAGGATGCGGATGTAGGAAACAGCGATAAGGATGATGTCCAGGCCAGTGGAGAGTAGAGCAGCTGCCAGCCCATACCAGACATTGATGGAGATATCAGAACAGGACAGACGGGCAATGCCCATGTGCTCACAAAATGTGTGTGCAATGATGTTGATCCGGCAATAGTGCAGGCGCTTGAGGAGAAAGATGGATGGAAACATGATGATGAAGCTGCGGGTCAGGGTGGCAGCAGTGATCTTCCCAATGACCATGCTTGTGAGGATGGTGGCATACCGCAGAGGGGAGCAGATGGCAACATAGCGGTCAAAGGCCATGGCCAACAGGACTGCAGAGTCGGCCACAAAGAGGAAGTGGATGAAGAACATCTGGGTGAGGCAGCCATCAAAGGAAATGTGGCTAGAACCTAACCAGAAGTTGGCCAGAGCTTTGGGCATCGTGGCAGTGGAGAGCAAGACATCAGCACTGGCCAACATGGACAAAAATATGTACATGGGCTCATGCAGGCTTGGCTGGGAGAGAATAACACAAATTAAAACGCTGTTGCTTACCAGGGCGGCTACATACATGGCACAGAAGGGGATGGAGAGCCAGATGTGTAGATACTCCAGCCCAGGGATGCCAATGAGGAGGCAGCCTGCCATGCGCGTGTCTGAGTTGTTTGTAGCAGCTATGCTGTTAGTAGATAAGAGAGCCATGATTTTCTGTAGAACCCTCACCTGTGCCACAGGGGAGAAATAGCTTCAGACTTTGTAAACATTAGCAGAGTGCACATAAAAGCTTGCAAACAACCACAAGGTCTGCACATACTCACAGGTCCTCCAACCATTATGGGCTTTGCACACAGGTATATTCCCTATAGACAATCACACATGAGTTGTGCACAAAGTGCACAGTTACAGACCCATAGATAGGCTCTCCATGCAGCTGCAAGACTTTCTGGAAACACAAGGCTAGAAAACATTACCAGACTTAGCAGAGTGCCACAGGTTCTGAAAAGAGCAGGATTAACTAGAAAGTA